GGTTTCGATGGGAAGAGGGTGGAATTGGGGTACAGAGGATTTGGATTTCGATGGGAAGAGGGTGGAATTGGGGTACAGAGGATTTGGTTTTCGATGGGAAGAGGGTGGAATTGCGGTACAGAGGATTTGGGTTTCGATGGGAAGAGGGTGGATTTGGGGTACAGAAGATTTGGTTTCAATGACTATGGTATTCCATGGGAATTCCCCACAAGTAAAGCGACTTACTCATCATGCCCTTTGCAAAGGTAGAAGAGGAGCCTCCAGGCCTGGACTGCCGACAAGAGGAGGCTGAAGAGTCCGATGAAGGTGGTGAACTGACAGGCGGATTCCGGGCCCCATTCCTCGACCATGAAGCGTTGTTTCTCCACCGTGATGTTCTCATTCTGCCACATCCCGCGGGTGAAGAGCAGGCATTTCCCCTGGAAATCACTGCCGTTCTCCGACAGCGGCACCACGGCGATGAAGCCAAACAGAAAAGCGAGAAAATACAGGATGCACTGAGAGAATAAAAAATTATTCATCCCCATTTCTTACATTAAAGCAGCAGCCAGACCTGCTGGTGCACGCCTGCGCCGATCGATCCACTGACGTCCCGTCGTTAAAGCTCAGGAAGATGGGAGGGAGGGGGTTGGGGATGTGATCCTGGAGACATCAACCTCTAGCCTGAAAGGTCCAGCCTTCACCCTCTCCTCACTCAACTCTCATTTCCCCCAATATTAACTTGTAACTTGCGATTTCCTTCAATGTGAACAATATTATTGCTTTAATCACCTTTGCATTTATTGGCACTTCAGTCCCAAATCTCCATTCTTGGATTATAATGGTTTGCTTACTAGATTGTTTTAATCTTGTCAGTTTGTAGATAGATTGACGCAGTTGGATGCATTTTTTGTTGTTATCCACTAGCTTGCAGAACATACCCAAAGTTGTTTACAAATGCAAAATACACTAAAGTACAAAAAATACTGCAAAAAATCTTAGTCACAAGTGCACCCTTTTACTTGGAGCTGTCCGAAGATCAGAACAGAATAGGTATCAGTCTGCTCCACCTCAACCTCTGGTGGCTGATCAGATGACCTCTTGTTCCCTGAGCAAGCTAATTTTGCTATGAAGCAAGAGCTTTTTTTTGTCATATTCTCTTTTCTTACAAATAAGCTATGCATTTATAATCTTGACGCTATCCAGTCTCTAGCAAATGATCAATGTGACAACTGGCAAACATCACAAATGTGTTATGCTTTCCATAATGGTTTGTTCAATTAACACATTAAGACTTGCTTGTGTCTCCTTAGAAAAAAAATGCTTATATCTTACGCTTAATGAACTTTCTGCTCAACTTAGCTTGTGTTCAACACTTGTATGCCATCTATAACACCATTTGATATAGGAACAGAATTGGGCCATTTGATCCAGCCGGTCTGCTCCAGCATTCAATCATGACTGATATGTTTCTCAACTGTATTCTCCTGCCTTCTCCCTATAATCCTTGATACCTTTATTAATCAAGAACCTAGGTTTCTCTGTCTTAAAGACAGTCTGTGATTTGGCCTCTACAGCCATAGCCTACTCAGGCAATGAGTTCCACAGACTCAACACTAATCAACTACATAATATTTACCTAGCACAATTCTATGACCATCACAAATTCCGCTGATACACAATCAACATTATTGCGTCTGATTCATCATGTATGTTTTAAATAACTTCAGCTTTTCCAGAGTTGCTGTGACAGTCCATTACTATTGAATTATTATGCTTAATGCAAACAAGCATGCATATTCCTTCAGAAAATATACAAGCATTTTAAAATCAGTGATGTTTCTAATCATTAGGACATCACCGGGCTTCATCTATTTTCTCTTCATTTCATTCAATTTAGTTTATTTCCACTAACCCAACAAATTTTGGATTAATATCTACAGTCCATACTGCGCAGCAAATCCTATTCATCTGTCACTTCTGTGCTTGCTGACCAACATTGACTCCAGTTAAGCAATGCCTCTATTTTGAAATTATCATCCTTGCTTTCAAATCTCCACATAGCCTTGCCCCAATCTATATTTGTAATCTTTTCTTGCCAAAAAAGCCTCCAAGATGCCTGTGTTCCTCTAATTCTGTCTTCTT